AATAGGTATGTTCTAGTATAACAAAAATACATCTATATCATATACAAACAATAATAAGCAAAAACTAAAAATTAAATTTAAATTCACAGAAACACATATATATACTCACAGACAAAATAACCACCTGAAAATGGTCTCAGATGAGATTGATAATAATTGGGAAAATAAAAACTATTCGAAAGAAAAATTTGGTATTTTTCTTACTCAATTTTCTTAGTCTACCAAAAAATTAATCTGCAAACTTGAAAGGATAACAAAGAAAACTAATCGACAATGTGTATTCGGTGCGTTTCTATGAGTTTTTTTAAGAAGTTATCTTCAGCGGACCATCATTGGATGACGACTTAAAGCAATATTACGTAGCATGCGCCAAATTTTAACATTTTCATCTCGCTTACAGAAACAAAGATTGAGATCATGGACTAGGAAAACAGAAAAAACAGGACAAAAAAAAACGATTTAAAAAACCAACTGAAAAACGATGTAACGTAAAGAAATAAAATTACCTTTCCATTAAGAGAAACACTTAACCAAAAGGTCAGATCTGTTATGCAAATACAGACACAAAAACAAATTTATTCTACGCTCCCTAAAACCATATCATGACCCAAAACCACTAAAGAAAATCTCATAAGCTAAATCTGAAAAACTTCATTCCAAAATGCAAAGAAAAAAAAACACGGAAATAAAAAATATACGAAAGAAAGATACACTATAAATGAATGAAATGTTAAATAATAAATCTATGTAGATAATGTAAATGAATAAAAAATATATATATATATATATATATATATATATATATATATATATATATATATATATATATACTGTTATGGTCCGGTTCCTTGTACCACGGTGATAGTCCAAGGTAGAACCAATAAAGAAGAACTCGAATACGGATATGGAATAACACAGATATATTACAAACAGGAATATATACAGAGAGGTAGAAAAGTGTACGAACAATCAGGTTTAGTAGTAATTGTCTGAACGCGACTCTGTTTCGGACTGCCTCTGACTCGACTGACTGACTCGCTTGCTCTGACTGACGGACAGACTCCTGACGGACTTCACTCCAGACGGAACTCTCAGACTTCAGACGGAACTCCCTGCTTCCTCTTGAGGCGCAGTATTTATTACGCATGGAATAGTCCATTATGTTATTATGGGTAAAGTCTCGTAACATATATACATTTATAATATTAAATGTATATAATATTTTATATATATTTAAAATAATACATATATATATATATATATATATATATATATATATATCTGTGTGTGTGTATGTGTGAGTGTGAATGTGTGTGTGTGTGTGTGTGTGTGTGTGTGTGTGTGTGTGTGTGTGTGTGTGTGTGTGTGTGTGTGTGTGTGTAAAAGCAATCTAATGGTCACAAACAGAAATATGCGACGCCGCTTTACATAAGAACTTAATCCAATCACCCAACCAGCATAAACGAGCAGTCTGGAGATCATGCACATAAATAACCCACAACATTACCCCTACCCCAAAGAAGCTGGAACGGGTCAGTTTTCTCTTCCACTACTTCCCTTAATTCAACAGTGATTTATATGCTCAGCTCACTATATTGATTGATTTGATTTTTTACGGTTTATCAACTTTTTGTAGGTTATTTAAAGCCAGAAAATATTTTTGAATTGATAACGTTTATTAGAGATAATAATAATTCGCTGATACAATTTTTAGTATTTAACCCATAGCTGAAGCGAGAATATGTGGATTTATATCTTTGGCAATGGTATTTGGAATTTTGTCCCCCGATTTCCAATCCTTAGCCGATATCCATTTGGCCACCTGCACAGCTAAGCTTACGCCTGTTAATCCCAAGTGGTCATTCATCAAGGTACTGACCACTATATATACACCCTGCTAAGTAGTAAATGCAATTGGGCTGAAGATTGCACTGAAACGTTAAAACTACTGTCACTATACACTGTTGATTTTAATGTACACACAAACACACTTTCTCTCTGTGTCTGTCTCTCTGTCTGTCTGCCTCTCTATCGGTTTCTATATATATATATATATATAGGCTGTACATTTTAATAGTCAGTTGGGCACCATCTATGAGAAAAAAAAACACCATGATATAATCCACTACGCCAGAAATTTGGAAACGTCATGCTATACTGCTTGGCATTCGCGCTGGCAGCTTCAATACAAACATTTCAGAGTGTTTGGCTGTCAATCTTAAGGCAGTAACGTGGATTCAGAAAGAGTTGGATGAGTCTAATGGGTTATTTGAAGTGATCACTGGTGAAGGTGACGTTATACCTCCAGTATCAACGCGGTGGCTTACATCAAGTTCCTTCAAAAAGGTAGTGCTGCTCTAGGTCAAGAGGGTGGCAGCTGAAATACCTTCTGTCTGGCAACAGGATTCTGCACCATGCCACACGAGTAGGAGAATCTAGTCATGGCTATCAGAGAATTTCTGCAACGACATCACCCCTTATATCTGGCCACCTAACTCCCCAGATTGCAAACCGCTTCATTATTATTTATGGGGCACAGTTGAGCGAGAGACCAACAAAACACCTTTTAATATCAAAGATGAAGGGAAGCCAAGGATTATGGTAAAAGTAGAATGTTCAGAAGAGATGCAGGAGATTTCGAAGTCGTCTGGAGGCCGTGGTTGAAGCCAATGGCGATTTTATTGAATAAATTTACACTTTACTATTTCAAGATATTTTTGTATAATTTTGGTGAATATAACTGTTAAAATGAGATGTCAGTTTTATATTCATTTTGGCGTCACTTAGACGACAATTTATCCATCGCATCCCGTATCACATTATAATGAATGCGTTTTTTTTTTCTGGCTCATAAATCACATATTTCATTACATTTAATGATCAATTACGAATTTAATCAAAGGAATAGTTAATCTTTGATGGCATAATTCTATCAAGCAGTTTGAGGCACAATAATATTTGAATTTCGATGAAAAAGAAAATATTCTGTTTTTGTTTTTTTTTTAACTGCCTTTCCCAGTTCAGGAAATGTTGCAAAAAATAAGGCAGTAACTCAATAGAACAAGATCAGAAACATCGTCTGGAAAGGGGTATACATTCATTTTTACAGCCCAGATGTTTTTCTGCTTATATTTCATCGTTGTATGAAACTGCGCAGATGTGTAAAACTCATTCCCGCCTGCGGCTGGGAAATGAAGTTCGATACATCAACCAGTAGAGGGGTATTTCATTCAACAACGATGTGGAGCTTAAAAGGTGAATTGAAGGATTTTTCGAATCAGAAACTAGTGCTCAAAGTTGGTGGATCGATGACTGGATCATTAGAACTATTAATAAATAATAACTATTAAAATAAATTCTAAAAATCGAACAAATTTATGTAACAAATTAATATAAGTAAAAATGGGGATATCTTTACAGTAATTTATTTATACAACATCAGAATATATGGGTTGGAGGTATTCGGTTGAAAAACAGAATGAAATAAGACAATCGAGTATTCGACTCGCATCGTGTTACTACTGAAAACTTGCAGGTTTGCATTACACTACGGCGTTTCTCAGTCGGAGTTTCTCGGAACCCTAAGATTCTTCAAAGGTCACCAATGTTTCCGTGAGAACAGGTGAGATAAGCTAATGCACTTTTGACTTTTTATTTAATTTCATATACGTAATATTAGTAAACACACACAATCTATTCTTGGTTATTGTTATATTGTAATATAGAAGTCATCCTATCTAACCTATTATGTTATTAAGAATTCTTTTGGCCTATTTATTGATTCACAAGACATTTTGCCTTGAGTTACCTTATGTCTTTTCAACATTGTCATTAAAGGATAAAAAATTAAAAAAGAACTGATACATCAATTATCTGTTTTCATTTTGTTTACATTTATATTATAGGTATATGATATTGGTTACTCATGTTTATTTTTTTACGTTTGAGTTTGGAATTTTTTTTGTGTGAATGAAAACTCCCTGATGAAGTATTATAAAAGAACAGCATTAATTTTATTTAGCATTACCAAAAAATTTGACAAAGAAGTGTTAATTTTTTCTTAAACTTGTTATTCAAAAATTATATACTATGATATTTACCACACGAACTACGATAAAATTAAAATGAGAAAGATATGGTATATAATTTTGCATTTGCGCAGCGTCTCCTTGAGACATGTAATTTATTTTAAGGGTTACAAGGTTGAGAAGGGTAAAAAGGTTGAAAAACGCTGCAGGTGTCTGCAGCAAAGATTAATATTATCAGATTTTTTTCTTAGACATTGTAAGATAAAATTAACTTAAACGTAATTTGCATTTCTACGAATGCAAAATTCATATTTTAATCTATCTTCTGTAATATTATCAGTGGGACACTCACATAGAATAAGATGGTGAATGATTCAAGTGTTCTGTATTTTAATGGCCGGCAGAGAAGTCTCTGAAGTTAAATATTCAAAAGCAGCCACCCACTTGACCAAAAGAGAAAATAATATATAAATAAATGGTATCCAAGAAACCGGACGTTAGAGATTTCCGAATACTCATAGCTGGACTCGCGAGATCGTCTAGGGACAACGTTTGTCAGGAAGAGACTTTGCTTGAATTAGTTCTGATGCTGCTTATTTTTGTTGCCAGCGACATGTTGTGAAATCGCGATGAACTCAAGAGCAGTAGGTGAAAGTCGGAATTTTTGTTCGTTGAAAGAAAGAGCTGATCTGTTAGACTGGCATGGCAGATGCTGGGCCAAGAGTTACCTATCTACCCCCCACCCAGAACCGTGCAAAGGAATCCCTGAAATAAACAACGATAAATATTGAAAAACGAGTTCAGATGTAAAATTTCCCGTTAAGTCACTTACTTTCATCTTTCGTCTCCTGTGTGCGAGAATAAAGACGCAATGTGTAGTTGACTGTCCGGTCGATGAAAAGCTGAGAAATGGTTGGAAGTTAGGAAAAAAATAGTCTCCAGGCAGAAAGACGCCATTGAACTAAGTAGAATATGTCTAGAAATACGCCCTTGTGTCTGTCCCAATGCTCGTGGGACGAAGATATTTTCTGCTTAATATTTTCGTTAACACCCAAATGTGAAATGGATGTTTTCTAAACATTACAGTTTCTATTAAGGCTCACATAAATAAGTACCCTTCATGAATCAAGTTATATTTCAATATAAGGTGATCTCTCTTATTCGAATTTTCGCTGCCAACGCTTCTAATTAGCTGTGACAAGACCAGAAATATACATGTTTTACTCAAAGCGTAAAATTCAAAGAGAAGCCATAATGTGCTTCCTACAAGAAAAAATAAAAGTTCTGAAGTTAACATTCCAAAGACAAAATGTGATCAATTCGCTAAGACCTACTGTAAGAACTGTTTCTTGTGACTGTCAAGGTTTTTATTAGTTTATTGCTGCAATTGTTTACTTTTATTAGTAGTTATTGTTGTTAATGTTAAATAATATTATATCAGACTATTACTTTTGGAGGAAATTTATCTCGGCTTTGACTTCCAGAGGTTGACAGCTAAGGTCAGATGTGAGCCATAATAAGGAAGTCGGTTTTGATTGGCTGGGCTAGCGTGGGAAAGATAGATAGGGAAAATTTCAGTGAGTTGCTTCTTACCCTTCAAACGATTCTACTAGATAGCTAGCTAATTACATGTCGACATATTTAATAAAAATATTTATCATTCTCTGTGTTGAAGTTTTTCATTGCCGAACCGAAACAATTGGCGATCGTCGGCCAAGAGAAAAAGCCGAGCTCAGAACATTCACTATTATCAACATACAACACTAACCCTTTCCTAATCAAGGCAATAATGCCATTAACACGCAAAGGGTTCCAGTGTGTTAGAGAATAGGAAAATATTATTAAGGAGATAGAACAATAAAGGAACAGAAACAAAGAAAATGGAAAATAAGGAATGACATTGGTTTAATTTTTTCAAGATCAAAGTTGACTGAAAAGCAAGGAGCCGAAAAAGAGTTCTGTAAATGAGTGATGCGATAGAAGAAAATGCCAGCATAGAACTTACGGTTTCAGCTGTAAAATGAGAAGACCTTACCACTAATCTAGTACTGGGCTTAAATGTATAATGTCTAGGTACCATAGAACAAAATTCATCTGAAGAATTACCAAGAAGAGTAGCTATAAAAAAAAAACAAGAAAGCGACATTACGGCGGTAGGAAAGTGACTGAAGCTAAGATGTCAGGTCATGGCCTATAACATTAAACATTCTTCTTAGGAATTAATCAAGAATCTCCAATGTCTAATATAATATGTAAATTTATATCTTATAATTCATAAAATTTAATATTGTCAAGAATCTCTAAATATATAGCGTAATATATATATATATATATATATATATATATATATATATATATATATATATAAATTAATTGATTTAAAATATGTTTTTTCGCTACACAGTTCTTACCATGTTTCAGAAATGGAAGCTAAAAGCCCCGAATTTAATTTTGTAATTAAATTAAAGACATTAGTTGCATTTCATCCTCAAGCGAACTTACATTGAACACTATTTTGTAAAAATAAAAATATCTATAAGAACACCGGATTATATATCTTACTGTTCTTTCTTTATATATATATATATATATATATATATATATATATATATATATAATCACAGGCATGTATATATAAGAAGTAAAGATTAAATTGCCTAAAGATTAGATTTATTCAGTAAAATCGCCATTGCCTTCAACCACGGCCTCCGAACGACTTCGGAATCTCCTGCAACACTTCTGAGTCGGAGGTCCTTGTTTAAATTGGTGAATGCAGCCATAATCCTTGCCTTCAGTTCATCTTTGGTGTTACAAGGAGTTTTCTTGGTCTTTCGGTCAACAGCACCCCACATATAATAATCAAGGGGGTTACAGTCTGATCAGTTAGGTGGCCCGATCTAAGGTGTGACGTGGTCGCAGAAATTGCCTCGACTGGGTACTCTTACTTGTGTGGCATTGTGCAGAGTGTTGTTGGCAGACAAAGTGACTTCCAGCAGCCACCCTCTTGACACAGGGCAGCACTGCCTGCTCACGGCACTTGATGTAGTCCTCAGTGTTGAGTCTGTGACCCTCACCAACAGATTCGGTAGTTCTTTTCGTATCAAAATGATCGGAGTGAGTTTTTGCACTGACCTTAGATTGACACTCAAGGACTCTGAAATGTTGGAGCTTGCAGCGCAAATGTCAAGCGTTTCCAAATTTTTGGCAAAGTGAATTGCATCATGGTGTTCTTTTTTTGTCACAGACGGTGCCCAACTGACCCTTCTATACTGCGCAATCCCAAAATAAAAAAAAAACAAACAACGCGCATGCGCGAAATTAAAAATGTGAAATGGCGACAATTTACCCATCACACTCTGTATACATATGGCACCTCATACCTAGCTTCTTCAGGTAGACCAAGACCGACTTTGCATTTCCCAACTTCCATCGATAGTGGAAATAATCGATATTTTAATGCTTCTACAGCACTTTTCATGTAGTTTGCGGCCATTTTCTACTGGCCAGAATGAGAGCCTATAGCTGGCTTCCACGAATAGGCAGGAAGATTCTACTGGCCAGCGTGAGAGCAAACAGCTGACTGACACGAATGTTAACTAGCATGCAAAAAATATCGATATCTGCATTCGTCACAAGTGGGAAAAATTTAAATCTGCATGGCACTTTACTCCAGTTGACTCATTTGCTTGCTTAAACTCAACGTTGATTCTGATTCCGCAGAACTGGGTTTGTTTGTGAAAAAGTATTTGTTGTTAACATTCTTTTTTCTTTCGGTTTTTCCAGTTATGAGTCCTTTTTTAAAGCTGATCGTTTTGTGTTCATTTTGTTTAGTTCTTTTTTCGTAACAGATTTAATGTTTAGTATAGAGCTTAGAAAAAATTCGCAGTGTGAGATAGGCAAGAAGTAAGGCATGTAGCAACATCAGCACGACAAAGGGCACTTCTTTAAAGGCAAGGAAGGGCAAAAATATTTTAAGTCAAGCGATAGCGATTGCTGTATGAGTCGTACGATTTTTGAATCAAGCACGAGCAACGCCGGGCCATGCTGCTACTAATATATATATATATATATATATGTGTGTGTGTGTGTGTGTATGTGTGTGTGTGTGTGTGTGTGTGTGTGTAGAATTATAGAATTCTTGCATTCATGCTCCTGTTATTAGTTGTTCATTCACACTTTTTCTTTTTCTTGCCCTTTCTCTTTATATTTTCCTACTTTTCTTTTTCAGATATATTAACTCTTTTTTTTCTTTCTTCTTTATTCCATTAGTTTCGTAATTTTATTTAATATTTTTCCCCTGTTTTTTTATTAATTTTTCTTTCGTTCTTTCTTTCTTTCTTTCTTTCTTTCTTTATTTATTTATTTATGTATGCCAAGTCACAGTTATTTTCCTTTCGTTGATTAATCTTTCTTTCTTTCTGTCTTTCATTCTTTCTTTCTTCCTTTCTTTCTTCCTTCTTTCCTTCACCCGATTAAATGTTTTTTTCAGTTATTTTCCCCACGTTTATTACTCTTTCTGTCTTCGATTAAATGTCTTTTTCCAAATTTTCCCCTCGTTCTATATTCATTTTTTCTTTTTTTTTCTTTCTTTCTTTGTTTTTTTTTTTTTCTTTCTTTCTTTCTTTCTTTCTTTGATTAAATGTTTTTTCACTTTTTTCCTATTCGTTCTTTATTCATTTTTCTTTCTTTCTATCTTTCTTTATTTCTTTATTTCTTTATTTATATATATATTGTTTTTTTTTTATGTCAATACCTTTTTCACACTTATTTTCCTTTCTTTCATTACTCTTTCTTTCTTTTCTTTTCTTTCTTTCTTTCGTTCTTTCTTCGATTAAATGTTTTCTTCAGTTATTCTCCTCCCGTTCATTACTCTTTCTTTCTTCGATTAAATGTATTTTTTCCAGTTTTCCTCTCGTTCTTTATTCATTTTTCTTTCTTTCCTTCTTTCTTTCTTTCTTTCTTTCTTTGATTAAATGTCTTTTTTCACTGTTTCCTCAACGTTTTTTTATTCATTTTTCTTTCTTTCTTTCTTTCTTTATTTATTTATTTATGCCAATTACTTTCTTTTTTCAGTTATCTTCCCTTGGTTCATTAATCTTTGTTCTTTCCTTCCTTCGATTAAATGTTTTTAAGTTATTTCTTCGATTAAATGTCTTTTTCCTAGTTTTCCTCCTCGTCTTTCTTCCTTTCTTGCTTTCTGTCTTTCTTACTTTCTTTCTTTCTTTGATTAAATATGTTTTTCACTGTTTTACTCTTCGTTCTATATTCATTTTTCTTTCTTTCATTCGTTCTTTCTTCATGCTTCATTCTTCGAGTACCTTCTTTTTTTTCCTTCACTTTTTTCCCTCGTTTCTCAGTTTCTCCTTGCTTTCTTTCTTCCTTTTTTTCTTTGTGCTTTTGTGGCTCTTTCTGCTTTCATGGCTTTTCCCCCTTTCTTACTTTCTTCGAATTATTTTCATTCTTTCTTTCACATCTTTCTTTTCCTCTCGTACGTCACCCTTAATTTCTTTCTTTCTTTATTTCAATTATATATTAATTTTAACTTATTTCTGATCATTTATTCTCGCTTTCTTACCTTCCTGGCTTTCACCTTTTTTCTCAATCTTCCGTTATTTTCAAATATAGATATATCATCATCATAAGACATCACAAGGGCAGAATTAAGTCATCGCTAATGAAACCTACAAATAACGAAGCTTTCGACGCATCGAAATGGAAAAAAATCTTAAATAAACACGACACCTTATATTCTTCCTTTTTTATTTCGAACTGGAATCAAAAGGTCTGGGAATATAACTGTATATAGAAACGAACAAACAGAGAATCAGCCAGCGCCCAAGACTATTTGTATCAAACATTCTTACTTATAAAGAAACATTTGCTATTTATTGACCGAAAAACCAGTGTTAGGCGATTTACATGTATCTTCCTTTACTGGCCATAGGAGTAGAATCAAAGTGTAGTATCTGTTCTTCTCATTTCTTATTAGCCGTTTTCTTGTATGGAAAGAGAGGTTATTCATTGATCAGCCAGTACAACACAAGTTATGCTTTTTTTTTCATTTCCTGGTCACTGGGATCAAAGTGTAGTATATGTTCTGATCTTTTCTGGTAATGGTAATTATTGTAGCTTACCCGAGGACAATAATGGGTATGTCTCCATTCACATAAATACAATAGTAAATACTGTATGTTGGTCTGCAATTGGAGATTCGACTCCAGCTGTGCTGGTCAAACTCTCTGCCTACAGGAAGAGAGGATCCCCAGACGAGACAGAGGGCAGAGTCTCGGCTCGGGAAACAGCTACCCGACTCTGTTTTATACGGGGTCTAGAGGAAATTTTTGGCCGGGCCTACGGTCTCGCTTACCGCACATTCAATTCGGCCTTGTACCACATCTGACCGCGTGGGGCGGTTGGTAGACATTCGGCAATTGGGGATTCGACTCCAGCTGTGCTAGTCAAACTCTGTGACTCCGGGCTGTGAGGATCCCTAGATTAGGCTATGACGAAGAGCAAAGTCACGTCTCCGGAAACAACTACCTGAACCTGTTTTATACGGGGTCTTGGGGAAATTTTGGCCGAGCCTACGGGCTAGAATACCCCATATTAAATTCGGCATTGTGCTACATGATTGCGTGGGACGGTTGGTAGATTTCCTGCAGTTGGAGATTCATTGTGGAATCCACTTGACACACTTCTAGCAGTTGACTACTACTTCTACGCGCCGCTGGCGAATCTTATATGTGTTGTTCTTGTCCTAAGTATTATCGTTCATTACCAACCATCGTGTGATTATTCTATTCAGTAACCTTCCCTAGGTGACAACAGTAATATTAGCTGTTTCACCGTAAGGAAACATTCGATGTCCATTGACTGAGTACCCAGTGCCCGTGACAGTTATAAAATGTTTCTATCAAAATGCTATTTTCAGCAATATGGTTTCCCGAAGTCTGTTAACTGTTAATGGGGGTTTCTTTCTTAATCTTTTACTCGAAATAGTTGTGAGCGTCAACATGTTGTTTATGTCATCATTTTCACTTCAACTAATATGTGCTATCCATTTTATCTGTTTCAGCTTTTGAAACTCCTCTTGTGAACTTGCTTCTACTATTTGATGCAGTTCTTTGTGTTTCTGGAGCGCCAGTCCACGACGTTTGAAACGCGATGGTCCTCACTAAAATCTAAATGCTTCATCTGCTGGAAGTCATTTTTAAACTGAGAAAGCGGTCCTATACAACTGGCTCAACGTGTTTGGCTCCATGCATGACATCCATATAAAAGTTTCGTAATAAATAATTGTGACTTTGTATTGTTTTGACGCATTCGCTCATTTAAAAGCAACATAAGACGCCTAATTGTCAAGGTTGTTTATAGCAGTAAGAGCTTTTTAAATTAACCGATAAGATAGAGAAGATATATTCCATTCCATAATTACTTGATGCTGGAGAGAAAAAAATCACTGACAGCCGTCCTCCCAGCTGTCAAGCCTCGTAATCACAATTGCAATTCTTGTTACACTCCCACCGTCAGAAGTGATACACTCTGTAAGTTACTGGCTCACCTTCTCCTAGGTCAACGATTTTTTTGTAGAGGAACGCTACCAATAGTCAAACACACTCAATTCTCTTTTTGCACGTGGGATACGTGCCAAAAACTAGCGTGCAAAATAAAATCGTGTAAAAAAAAATATACAGTGTACATTTGAAAATTAGAGTTACATCTACATATATTAGGTTGGTGCAAAAATAATGTCGTTTCTTGACGTTAAGTTGAATGTCAAAAAAAGACATTATTTTTTGCACCAACCTAATATTTAATAAAAATTTTCATATCTAAATAAATAGAATTCCTTATATACACACACACACATTATATTATATATATATATATATATATATATATATATATAACATAATCATTCAATGTCACTACTAGAGAGTAAACGTGCCCGCTTTCTGTTGTTTTTCGGTGGTGCAAAATCCCTCTCGTCACTGGAAATATTTAATGGTGATATATGTTCATGTGTATCTTGAATGAAATTAACATTTTGTGTTTCTTTTGTTTCACTGGTTTTGAATACGAATTCGGTGATAGGATGCTGTGATTTTATTTTTATATGATCCTTCATAAGGTGTCATAATCATTTCAAATCATGTTGGAATTGCACATCCCGTCCAACACTGTTATCATTTGTAACAAAATGGGCTCCAGGTTTATTGTCTATTTGGGGGTCCTCTAGAATGGTACTTGCAGATAGTGGAACCACATCTTCATCATCACTACTATAAACTAACGTGAAATCATATACATTATCTGAAATACTAGGCATGTACAGTGCATAGGTCCCACCACACCGGAAAGTGGAGGGGAGTCACTATACGGAAAAATATATTAGATTCTATTTTAATTCGATAAATTGTTACTTAATCATGTTACGTACAGTTTCGGCATTTCGTAAATTATAATTAATTGATGTTATTTAATCGTTTATTTGCCACTTGCAATAAATTCGGTAGTCATACAAGGACAGATGTTTAAACCGTGTTAAAGTAAAAATAAAGTACAAAAATATAATCAGTTCTTTTTGTTAGACCGTGTTATTTCAAACCCGTGCATAAAGAATACGTGCGGAAAGAGAATTAAGCGTATACGCCTCAGATAAAAAGAGAGCCTTTAAAAAATTAAAACTATGACATTTAAGTCATATTTTTAACTTCTTTTAGCGACTGTTTTTTTTTCTTCTTAGGTTTTTAGATCTAAATTCCCCATCGTTTCTTAACTGCATAATAAAACTTATCTTTTCTTATTTTGACTTCTGTCAATGTGTGATTTTAACAGGAGCAGCTTTTTAATGCTATTAGCAGAACCGGCAAGTCATTTCGAGTAAAATTTACCCCAATTCATAATTACGCACTACTTCATTATTTCTAGTACAGTTTGTTTACCTTAGGGTTGAAGAATGTCGATCTGTGTGATAAAAAACAACCGAAATAGGACAGAATAAATTATTATTAATAATAATAATTCATTGAGAACAGTTTTCTCATCTGTTAAGCCTCGTAATCAACAAATTCTGTTATACTCTCACCGTCATACGCTTTCATTGTAGGTGAAGTGACTCCCCTTTTCACAAATCAACGTTTTTTTTTTTTTTGGGGGTTATACACAAGGATGCTATCAATAGTCAGTTATAAGTGGAATTCTCAAAATTGTGGCACCCGAGGACATCAGCAATTCCAGTTGTAGTTGGAGTCCCCGGATTGATTGGAAATGGTTCCGATAAATTTATTGAAGGGATTCCTGGTAGCCCATGCTTTAAAGAAGGTGTACTCACAAGTACAGCTCACAGATAACGAAGAGTTTTTTTTTTATGTAACATGTGATTTTTTTTTCTTTGTACGTTTGTTCGTTTTTTTGTTTTGTTTTTTTTTACAATGGTGTACAAAATGATCAGTAGTAAATGACATGAAATCATTTCTAGTTGGGACCCGGAAGTAGATGTGCATACAACAGAAATGAAAAGAAATAATAATAATAATTGTTTTTAAAGACCACAAACAAAATCGGTGCCTCCTTATTGATATGGCAGTCCCTGTCGACTGCAATGTATCTTTGAAGACATTCAAAAAGTTGTCAAAGTACAAGGACCTTGAAATAGAAATCGCGAAAATGTGGCATATGGGAACATCAACAATCCCTGTTGTAGTTGGAGCTCTAGGACTGGTTGGAAAAGATTCCAGTAGACTAATTGAAGGGATTCCTGGAAGTCCATGCCTCAAGGAGATACAGAAAATTGTTCTGACAAGTACAGCCCACACCTTACGAAGGGCTTTATCTATGTAATTTTTTTTTTTTTTTTTTTTTTTGTCAGTGGAAAGTGTCATGACGCCATTTCTAACCTTAGGTCCCTGGGCGGGACCCGGAAAGAAATGTGTAAACGCCAGAAATCAAAGAAAATGATAATAATGATAATAATAATAATTGACATAGATTGGGACAGTCAAAAAAGAATTAAGCATAATAGTGAAAAAGAATTTTAAAAATGCAACTAAAGTCTCTAATGCCGAAATGAAAATGTTTTCTTGATGTGTTTTGATCAAACATCGTTTCTGCGTTTGTCTCACTGTTCAGATTAGTTAATGTTGTTCTTCTACTTCATCATCATCATCTATGTGCCGTTTACCGTCAGACCGTGAACGAATTATGTCTCTTCTCAGGTTCCTATCCCTAGTACCGCCTAGCAGCGTTTCCCCGCTAACCATACCACCCGCAACAATCGTTTCGCCATTCACCAGCTAGGTGACTCGCTGCTTTCCCCTATCTCTCTTACCCTCGATATGTCCCGTGAGTGTTAAGTTCTCCAAGCAGTCCTTCCTCATTATGCGTTCAAGAAATGCCACCTCTCTCTTTCTGATTATGGGCATTTTGTTTGTTACCAATTTCTTTAAGACTTCCTCGTTGCTTGCTCGTTTCCTCCTCAGAAAGAAGGGCTTACACTCACATATCCGGGGCAGGAGAGATAGTGGAAGGCAGTGGACCACATACCTGACGTG